AAGAGAGACGAGTTGCAGTATGAAATGGGAGATTGTCAAAAAACTCAGACGACGCAAACGCCAGAACACCATACCAGCTTTGCACTATGAAGAGAGGAGAGGAGAAAAGTAAACGAATGAAAGAGTTGGGGTGAACCGAACCGAACGGCGTGATTAAGAAATGTGAATGATCACCCGGAATATCGTGATGCAGCCCCCGCAGAAGCATTATGCCGGGTTCTCCTTCTCCCCGGCAAAATACTCCGTCCCAAATCACCCATCCTCCTCCCCATTGGTGTGAGACTGCGACTGCTCCTGCCCATGAGTCCCATGCATCCACACCCTCTTCCACGGCACCTCATGTCCCGCCTCACGATCCCGCCGCATCCCCTCAAGCACACCAACTATCCCGCCACTCCGCAGCCGCTCCAGCACAACGTTCATCCCCAACTTGCTCCTAAAGACCGCATCCCGCGTCCGCTTGACGCCCATGAGCTCAATGGTCCGCTGGATTCGGGCCGTCGACCACGCGGCGAGCATGCCGCGTTTGGTGTGCGCTTCTTCCTCGCTGTAGATGGGATTGCCAGCGTCGTCGGTTGGTTGGGTGGGGTTGAGCATCCCTTGGCCTAGACTTGAGTTGAAAGTGACGGTAGTTTTCACGGATGTTCGTTCATCCATGGGGTCGTCGATGGGTGTGGATGTGCCTGAAAGCCATGTTCGGGGCTTGGGGGGGTCTCTTTCGTCTGAGGCGGAGGGGAGGCTGCGGTAGAGTTGTTTTTCCACGATGGTGAGGATTCCCGTCCATTCCACGTTGCGTGATTCGCTACGCATCCAGCCCTCCTTGGGGTCTACGACAGTCGTCTCTAGGATGAAGCTTTGGTTCGAGTTCTCAATGCCGTCAGTTAGCTTGGAAAACAATTTCAACACGGCGAAGGGGGCCCTGGACCCCTTGAGGAGCAGCCTGGTGGTGTGCAGGCGCTCTGTGACTGGGTCGACATAGCGGTCGATGACATCGGTGGTCAGCACATGGCCGGAGTAAGGGTTCGGATAGCGGAGGAAGAAGGCGAGGCAGACGGCGGGAAAGGAGTAGTCGTAGTTGAATGAGCTTTGGAAAACTTTCATCGTGGAGGTAGCGACATGGGAGGGGGTTCTCCGTTAGTTAACTGGAGAAGAGGTATCGAGGGAGCCTGACGTCTGGTGTCTGGCTAGAGGAAGGCGAGGTTGAGGGCGCCAGGCGGTGGATATCGACGTCCCGCTTGCTTTTCTCTCTCTTTCCCGACGTTGTTGGATTTCTTGCAGGCTGCTCAAACCTCCGAAATCTGCTCTGAAGTCGCTGGGTTTTCGCTTAGTCATCTACAAAGTGTGATTAGTCAGCGGTCGCTGGACTGGACACGGTCAAGGGCGGGGGAAGTCAGATTCCAGCCAATCACAGCGTAGCGATTCAAGTCGGGACAGAGCGCTGGCGGACACGGACTCCGCCTGGTGATTGCTGCTGGCGTTAGGAAAAGCTGGTCCTGCATAACTACTAGACAAGAAGAATTTTGAGTTGCTGCATGGCGGCAGTTGCTAAGGTTTGAAAGGGGGCTCTTGTCTTTATACAAGAGACTCGGGGCATTTGTGATACCCATCTACGGACCGGACGCATTTTTTTTTATATTTATATTCCACCCTGCAGCACCTCCAGCTCCGATGATCTCTGATGGACGCGTACATGAGATGGAAGTATATATATATATATATTTCGTATTTATGTACAGGCAAATCCAAGGTGTCTTGCGTTCTAAAACAAACACACAAACAAGAAGAAAGGGGGGAAAAAGGAGCAGATAAAACCAAAAAGAAGAACCAAATCTACCAAACAATAAAGACAAGTGCAAGACAAAAAAACAAACAAACAAACAAAAAAAAAAAAAAAAAAAAAAAAAAAACGCAAATATAAATGCCCAGATCGACCTGCTCTTTAATCATTTATGCTCTCTTTCTTTTCATTGTTAACACTTGGAAATCTTCTTTTCTGCTTCCCCTCATTCTTCATTTTTGCTCTGCTCAGAATCTTCCTCTCTGATCCCGTCTTTTCTTCTCTTCTCCTGCCTTCTTTTGTTTATCCCACCCAACAACACATTCACTGTATCTCAGCTCAACACCGCGTGTTCATCGCAGGACGCGTTCGTACTTTATGCCCTTGACCGATCCGCCTTGCATCGCGGTTCGTACATCGCGCTTGAAACCCTCGGGGTTTACCCGTAGATCTACAGCTGCTTCGGCGTTTAGGGGATCGTCGGGATTCGGTTCGAGGAAGAGGTGCTGTCGATTTAAAGAAATGGACATATTTTAGCATAGGTGTTGGTTGATTCGCTGCTTGTTGTAAAGGACATAGTATGGTATGAGCAAAAACAATCAAAAGTCTCACCATCAAGCCCAACGCAACCATTTTCATGCCCATCACCGAGGTCCAGGAACCGTGCCTTGCTGAGTCAGGCTTGTCCAGTATGTTCAGACATACGTTTCCTTCGGGCAAGATGTTGGGATGGTAAATCTTCTGTGTGCATTTCACTGTCGGCGGCAGATCGGGGTACTCGTCCGGGACATCGATTTTGAACTTAAATAAGCCGCCCAGATACATCCCTCCGGGAGGTTCGAGGATCAGGTAGAAATGCATCGGGTCCGAGGGATCGGGGTATTCGAACTGGAAAAATTGGGGGAGGCCTTTTGCTGTCCGCTCTTCATCCTCGTACTTTGCGATATCTTTGAAATCTGTGTGGAAGTTGAGTTAATCTTGTGGAAGTTGAGATTAAACTGGTGATAGATGAGATAGATTAGATGAACGCACCATGTTGCAGACGCAGCTTGACTGCCGGAACCCTGTTGTTGGTCTTTCCTCCAGCAGTAACAGCAGTCGCACCAGGAGCGGCAGCATTTTCTCGTTCACTCTTTGTCTAATGGTGTAAAGTCAGTTCCCGTTTAGCTCGCCTATGTAAAAGTAGAAAGAAAATGATATAACCAAATGCGAAGAACATAGAGCAAAAAGTCATAATTCTGATGAAGAAAGAATAAAAGGAACTGGAAACAGAGAATCATGAAGTATCCTATCACACTTATATGAGAGCAATCATTAACTTACCCGAAGTTCTATAAACTTCAACATTGTGAAACAATACTTGTTAGTTCGCCCTCTTTTTCTCCAGGTAACAGAACAACACAATTCCACCAAACACGGGCAGCACAAAAGTGAAAACAGGGATACAAGCCAACTGATTAACTGTTGGCTTCGTATATCCCTTCCGTGCCCCCCAAAAAAAAAAAAAAGAAAAAAAGAAAAAATCACAATTTGCTGATATCCGCCCTCGGTACCCCGGAACAGCAAGCTCTACGAAAAAGGTCTGTGGTTGGTTTTATTTTGAGGTGATGAAAACTGTTGTTTCTGTTGTTTCGTAATGCCAGTAAGACGCTGAAGCTGGTTCAGTGGAGGGATCGGGAACCAGGAGCAAAAAGCGTTAACCGTTAGTAGTTCGCGTTATAACTCGGTGCCAGTGTCCTTATCCCGTCGAGCTAAATATCCGGTTCTTTTTCCGTCCTTCCTCTTGGCAGATTAGATCAGACCAGAATATACCACAGGAGAGAAAGGCCGGCGAAGAGCAAATCAACCGTGACAATTTCTGCCGTTGTCGGTTGTTGCCAACGCTGGGGGTTTAGGTGGCGCTGTAGTCGCGTGAGGGGTTATGAGAGGGAAGAACGGTGGATAAGCGGGGGACAGCTGAGGGTCAGATCCAAAAAAAAAAAAAAAAAAGGGAGAGATCGAGTGGAGAAAGAGAGCTAGTAAAAGTAAGTTAAGGAGAAGGAGAAGGGGTTGTGGAACTCGGCGATGTTGGGTTGGATGTGTTGCAGGTAATGATCCGATGTGCAATGGAGGGATGGGGAGGAGCCAGAGGAAGGGGTGAAGTGTATATACAGTACATGCGGTGAATATGTACTATGTACTGCATGCAACGTATTGTTATGTTAGTATTCTTTCTGTTTGCTGAGGAGGACGATATACTTGTTTTCAAGCTGTGGGGTTGATGTCGGGTGAAATTCCAGGTTGATGCGATGAAAAATGGGCAGAGTGGCGGGCACGTGACGTGGGTGTCGGGTTCGGAAATTGGGAGGCAGTGAGGTAGGTTAATGTGACAAATGTATTTTAGGTGTGTGGAACAGTGAAATGGGAATGGATGGAATAGAAGCACGAAGGGACTGGAATAGGCAGAAATGCGAGCCAGCCAGTCAAGTGGATAGGGTGTCTATTCTAAGATTGCAGCCTGGTATATGGATGTTAGGCCCGCCACCAGGGCGAGGAATATCATGGGAATGACCGGAATTTTATACATCTTGGTCTTCTGCTTTAAGACTTCTGGATGGCTACGCAGGTGCATTAGTATCCACGACACATCTTAGCTACAGAGCTAGAAATGCCTGTTGCTTGATACCTCTTTATTACGTGTAAGATTAGCCTACTCCTTCTTGAACAGCAACAGCACAGCGTAGGAATTCAATTGAAGCAAGCAGGAAGGCAAATGAAGAAGAAAAGGAACAAACTAGCATTCGAGAAAAATATAACGGCCAGAAAACGACGGAACAAGAGCAGCTGCTCAACTGCAAAATGAGACTTAACAGGACCAAAGGGGAAGCTGGGTATATCCGTCATGTAGGATACCAAATTACAAGACTGGCAATGCGACAGCACGAGATGAGACGGCAGAACAAGGACAACAGCAAGAATTTAACCTCAGCTCAGCTCAGGTCAGTTTCATAGGTGCAAACGAGCGGGGGAAGAGGCAAAATTACGCAGAGAAGGGAGGAAAAACTGTAATTGAAAAAATGTCTTGACATTATTAAACAAGAAAGGCTAGGAGTTTGCCCCAGGGGGGGGGGGGGGGGGGGGGGAGGGTGGTAGGAGAAAGACAGGTGAAGAGAAATATAACTGACAAAATTCCAAAAGAAACCCAAAAAAAAAAAAAAAAAAAAAAAAGG